ATCTGGGTATATGGAGGACAGTGGCAATTGCTCTAAGACTGCAAGGGAAGCTCAGCTTCCCTTAAAAAATATGTACTGTTGTGTTTACATTTCATTGACTAAATATGCACTAGAACGCGTTCAACTTTTGTTGAGAATCAGCTACTGATCACAGGTCACTGACGCAACTTTCTTCTCATTCATTCCCGTGGCGTCACAGTGCATTAAACAGTGGAAGCTCAGCGTCCAAAGACTTCAATGGGGAAGCATAGAGTGGGTTGTTCCACTGCAGCGAAACTAGACAGTCATTGGATAAATGCTCGGCTTTGTCCCGCCCATTGGACGCTCAGCGTCTCTGGGGGTCCATGGGGCAGTGGGCTGGCCTCGGCTGGCCTGGACGCTGGGCTTCTGCATGATGATTGGATGATCTGTCTGAGGCTGAATCCCTTTTTGATTGACAGCGAAATGAGTGAATCAGTGATCTTGAAATATTAACCACCACCGGAGCGATTTTCAAGTTTCATTCCGTTGTTCCGAGTTGATATGGAGACTTTTCCAATCCTCTTAGTGACTTTTTCTTTGTTAAAAACGACTAGTGACAAATCTAGCATCTTTTTCTGGTGTTATTGGAGACTGTACTCGTGTTTGGAGACTCTGACTTCTGTCGCTCTGCAGTTACTGTCCCCAACGAGCAGCGGGTGCTGCTGTGAGCCGCTCCACCGTCCCAAAGCACTCACAGGCGGTCACACTAGCCAGCACGAGCTAGCAAGCTGCACATAATGGCAGACAATTTGAATATTGTCGACCGGATTTTGGCGAAGCCAAACAGCGGGGCAGATCAACACCTCAGACTGATTTGGTGCAAAGGGTGGGGAAAAGTAACAGTTCTTTTCACCCATCTGAAAATCTTTGAGGTGTGTTTTGCTGTGGTTCTATGGCATGAGTGTGGTTAAAAAACAGCTTCAATTAAATACTCCTTTTATAAGTTACTGCCTCACTACAATATGACAACTTTATGATATAAACTTAAAGTGAGCTTCCCCTGTTTGAAAGACCAACAGCCGCCACTGGTGGAGGAAAATTTTGCTTTTGAAATATGAGCCCCGTGTACCACTTTGAACTGAATTAAACAGTGACGTGAACAGAGGGAGGTTGAATTAACCAATTTGAGTATGGAAACCCAAGTATCCTCTGATAAAGAGAGACCCAAGTCCTCCTCCCATGCTGTTTTAAGCTTATCTGTGGGGGGAACTCCTAAAATCCAACAGCTTGTCATAGAGAGCTGAAATGAGCCTCTTTTTAAGTGGCTCTATAGAAAGGACAGTGTCAATAATAGTCAAGTCTATTGATGTTATAGAGCTGGGTGTCTGAGAAAGAACAAAATGCCTTGCTTGAAGGTACCTGAAAAAAGCACTTGAATAGGCCATAGCACAACACAGCAGCAGGTCAAGTGGGCCGAATCTGAGCAAAATTTTTGATTTGTTATCCGAACCTGTCCCGTCGGACTTGGATTGAGTAGCCACACTCTGATGTCCATACACAAAGCCCTTGTTGTTACGTCAACAAGAAACATTATTAACAAGCCTCACAGATGTAGTGTTGGCCTCAGGGATGTTATAATTGTGTTACACTGGGACAGCTGTTCATGTTAT